TGGAGACAGGGTTTCACCATGTTGCCCAGAATGGTCTCGAACTCCTGAGCTCAGGCAATCTGCCTGCCTCGGCCTCCCAACGTGCTGGGATTACAGGCGTGAGCCACCGCACCCAGCCTGTTTTTTGACTTTTTAATAATAGCCATTCTAACTGATGTGAGATGGTATCTCATTATGGTTTTGACTTGCAATTTTGTAATAATTAGTCATGTGGAGCATTTTTTCATATGCTTGTTGGCCATGTGTATATCCTTTTGAAAAGTGTCTGTCCATGTGATTTGCCCACCATTTTTTTCTTTTTCTTTTTTTTTTTTTTTTGAGACAGGGTCTTGCTCCATTGCCCAGGCTGGAGTATAGTGGCACAATCATGACTTATTGTGGCCTCAATCCCTCAGGCCCAAATGATCCTTCCACCTCAGCCTCCTGAATAGCTAGGACTATAGGCACGTCCCATCACAACCAGCTGATTTTTTTTTTTTTTTTTTTTTTTTAGTACAGGCAAGGTCTTGCTAATTTGTCCAGGCTTGCCTCAAACTCCAGAGCTCAAGAATCCTCTTGCCTTGGCCTCCCAAAGTGCTGGGATTATAATTACAGACATGAGCCATCACACCTGACAATTTGCCCACTTTTTAATGGGATTGTTTTTTGCTGTTCATTTGTTTTCATTTCTTAGATTCTGGATATTAGACCTTTGTCAGATGCATAGTTTGAAACATTTTCTCCCATTATGTAGGTTGCCTGTGTACTCTGTTGTTGAAAACTCTTGTTGTGCAGAAGCTCTTTAGTTTAATTAGGTCCCATTTGTCAATTTTTGGTTTTGTTGCAGTGGCTTTTGGCATCTTTCTTAAGAAATCTTTGCCAGGTCCTGTGTCCAGAATGGTAATTCCTAGGTTATCTTCCAGTGTTTTCATAGTTTCAGGTTTTATATTTAAATCTTTGATCCATCTTGAGTTGATTTTTGTATATGGTGTGAGGAAGGTATCCAGTTTCAGTCTTCTGCATATGGCTAGCCAATTATCCCAGTACCATTTATTGAATAGGGAGTCCTTTCCCCTTGCTTATTTTTCTCGACTTTGTCAAAGAACAGATGGTTATAGGTGTGCAGTATTATTTCTGGGCTCTCTCTTCTGTTCCATTGGTCTATATGTCTGCTTTTGTACCAGTACCATGTTTTGGTTACTGTATCCTTGTAGTATAGTATGAAGTCAGGTCATGCGATGCCTGCAGCTGTGTTCTTCTTGCCTAGGACTACTTTGGCTATTAAAGCTCCTTTTTGGTTCTATATGAATTTTAAAATAGATTTTTCTAATTCTGTGAGGAACATCATTGGAAATTTGATAGGAACAGCATTGAATCTGGAAATTGCTTTGGACAGTATGGCTTTTTGGGTTGTTTTTTGTTTTTTGTTTGGGAGACAGTCTTGCTGCTCGGTCTCCAGGCTGAAGTGCAGTGGCATGATCTTGGCTCACTGCAACCTCCACCTCCCAGGTTCCAACAATTCCCCTGCCTCAGCCTCCTGAGCAGCTGGGACTGCAAGCGTGTGCCACCATGCCCAGATAATTATTATTATTATTATTTTATATTTTAGTAGAGACGGGGTTTCATTGTGTTGACCAGGATGGCCTCGATCTCCTGACTGCGTTATCTGCCCACATCAGCCCCCCAAAATGCTAGGATTACGAGCATGAGCCACCCCGCTAGTATGGCCATTTTAACAATATTTATACTTCCGATTCATGAGCATGGAATGTTTTTCCATCTGATATTGTCATTTCTAATTTCATTGAGCAGTGGTTTGTAATTCTCATTCTAGAGATTTTTCCCTTCCCTAGATAGCTGTATTCCTAGGTAGTTTATTCTTTTTATGGCTATTGTGAATGAGATTGTGTTCTTCA